AAAAAAACAAAGTATCGTGAACGGAAAATAGAATTTCTATTTAGTTAGTACATATAATGTAGGTGCATACAAATGTATGTAAGTATGCATTTCTTTGAATTGAAATGTGTGATTTTATAAAAGAGACATTCAGAACTGCTGGTTTTGTAGTTGGAAAAACTTTGTCGCTAAATTCGCGCCAGCCAAACCGCTTTTTATCTCAGTAGCGACTTTGTTCAATATACAAAAACAAAAAAAAACTGGGTTAAAGCTTATACACCAGACATACGGACCAAAGCAAAGTTCATAGTTATTGACGTCAGAAAGTAGAAGTAAACGGCTTCAATTTCTTCTAAGTTATCAAGCACTAGCTTGGTTGAAAGTACATCTGCCAACATTAGAGGACAGATATCGGGGAAAAGGGGCAGACGCTATATGTCGCCTAAGGCGCTGCAAAGGAAGGCACGCAACCGCACAGATATCTTTTAAGACTTGTTACGGTGATCGCCTCAGGTGTAACTTTTATATTTCTTATTCAAATCCGCCGGTTACCACAAAGCTTGCACCAATCGCTTGCAGGGATACATTTTTGGTTATTCACACTTATTTTTACTTTATTTTATTGAGCGGTTGAAATTTTTTTCGTTTTTTAAACAGTGAAATCGTGTTTCTCGTTCCAAAATTTATAATATTCTTCTTCTTCTTATTTTGCCGATTTCAAAAAAGCACGCCAGTCGTTTCTTTGCTGTGCCAACTGGCGCCAATTGGTAATGGAATATCAGTATAATAAAAAAAAAAAACAAAAAAATTTTTTTTTGGAATATATTCGTTGGATTTTTCATGTTTTTTTGAAAGAACACTACTTTTGACCAATTTTTTTTTCAAGGTCAAGGGGTAATTGTGGCTCAATGGCAATATTTTTATGAAAGGGATTTACTTTCCCCTATAAAAAGACGTAGTTTAGCCTCAAAACTTAAAATAATTTTCCACAAATCAAAAACATTTTTATTCTCTCCTTGAAGAGACAAATTCAAGTTTGGCAAATGGTCCATCATATCGGTAAAGAACATTAAATCAGAAAGTCAATTTTCATTCTCCAAATTGCAAGTAATTTTCGATCTCAATTTGCGTATTTGTATATAAAAAGGATAAAATAAAAAAACAACACAATGAAAAAGAATATCCAGCAATGAAATATGTATCTCTGGAAGTGTTCATGGTAGAGTTCTGGAACTTGGTATGGAGATGTGAAGAAAAATGGGAGCTATCGGAAAAAGGTGACACGCCCCCTCCCATACAAACCGAATTTTTCATACTGCATATCTCTGAAAGTATTCATGGTACAGTACTGGAACTTCGTATGGAGTTATGTATGTATGTATATGAAATCAAGCCCACACTCTTGGAGAAAAATTGGGGCTATTTGAAAAGGGAGCGTAAGGCCTACAAATTTACCGACTTTTAGATCTCTTTGAATGTATTTACAATTCTTCTGTAGGTGAGTTTGTGAGTGAAGTCCTCCTAAATGGTTGTACGGATTTTAACGAAACTTTTTGTGTATTTGAGTGGGTCTCTGGATGGTTTAGTTTCACAATTTAATCCGCCAGTTGGCGCTGTAGTCGAGTTATTACTAAAAAATAGCCAAGTGAGAAAAGATGCCGTGAAGGTCAGATTAAATCGACCTGTTGCACCATTGAGTATATCGAACTCTCCTGTGTTACGATTAGCCCAATGAATGTAATTTTCCAATTTTCCGCCCATCAACCAGTTGCAAAACCGCCTAAATCGCCGTTGTGGCAAAAATGAGATTTGGTAATCCTGAACTCCAGGCATCGAAATTTATGCATACAAATCGTTAAATCGTTATTAAAACAACAGATTTGTAAAATAATAGCCAGAGAAAATACCGCCTATCAAGAATAAACCTTTTTTCACTCTCCTGTAAAATTTGACATCCATATCACGATATACATACAATTCAATTTTCTGCCTTTGTTTGAGTCGAACTTGAAACAAGCGGCAACCCTCATACATATAATTAAGAAATAAAGCCTTTTCAAAACCATTTCGGTCGATACTCATGGTGTAATAATTGGTTTAATTTAAAAATAATTTGATTTTATTTTTTTTTTTTCAGGTGGCAACTCTTTTTTGAAAAAATAAGAATTTATTACATATCCCTTTAATTTGATACCTCATTTTGTAAAATCGAACGAACGGTGCAGATCTGATATGACGAGTGAAAGTTTTCGCGTATTATGCATTCATACGTACAAACATATTTAGATTACTAAAAGAAAAACAGATCCACATTAACTGCAATCAACATAAGTACAAAAACATTTGGAATTCGATTTTCTAGAAATTGGTATATGGCGAAATGTTTTCGTATCAAATTCGGGGGCAAGACTGTGTAAAATAGAAGTAAAATGCGTCAAAAGTTCCGAACTATAAAATCCATTTTTTACTGGGCTACGGACTACAAAGTCTGAAAAAACCTACATACATAATATCTGCGTACAATAAAAAAATTAAAAAATTTTTTTGTAAACTTCTACTTTTCATTCAGTCAGTAAAAAGTTTCGTAAAACTTTTTCCTTTTAATTTCAGTTTTAAAATCGTCAATGCTCGCCCTATATGTATGATTGAATACTTACCATTAACGAGCTCAAAGTATAACCATCATACTTGTTTGGCAGAATGCATCTGCATTTCGAGCGCAATGTGAATACAAAATGTGATTGCACAATCCTATCGCTCTCATGGATGGGCAAAGTTCCTGATGACATACCAGAGGTAAGTAAAAACGAAGCATAAACAAACCTAATGAATAAATTTAATAAACTGAAACGCATCGTGAATTCCAAAAGTCTAAATACGTAAAAGCAGATTAACCATTTATGCATACATCGGCGTAGCCAGAATGAAATTTAGGTCGAGCCCCCCTGACCCTATTAAGCTGGCATTTCAGGGAACTATTTTATATATATATAAGGAAAATTTGAAAGCTAGGGGGGGGGGCTCGAGCAACCCCTGCCCCTACCTGGCTACGCCCATGTATGCATACTTGCACTGCTATACCATTTTTACGTAACATTACTTGCAAGTCTGTTGAATTTTTATTTTCCACGTAAAATCCAAGTGACATTTAAAATTTGTGATGCCACTTGCGTTTGTTTACTTGCTTTTGACAATTTGCAGGAAATTCGGCATTTTAAACGAAATATTGAACGAAATATTAAGATATCTTCGTCAATAACGTAATTTATGTTCTATTTAGCTATATAAAAACTGCGAAAGGACTGAAAATTAAAATAAAACTACTATGAGATTTATGTAAACATCCAATTTAAAAACAATTTAAATGTGCTTCATATGCATATACAAATAAACATATTGCACAAAAGCTTATACTTCTATTTCACAGCAAAGCTACACATTTTCAAGTAAATTTGCGAAGAAGCAACTTAATGCCACTGCTAAGGGAGCGGAGCTAGTGAGACAACTGTCAGTTTATCGAACCTTTAATTATTGAATCATGCTATAGTGTAAATACCACGAATTAACCTGTGGTGCCAAACTGGAATTTACTGTTCAAAATAGGGCCTTCATTTTTCAACCGAATTTGGGGCTTTAAATGGAATTTAATGAAAATTAGAAGGGATTTGTCGAGCCCGATTTTTTAATTTTTATTTGTTTATCTTAAATTGTTTAATGCAGAGTGCAGAGAAACTTGCAATTTTTAAGAAAATTTCCTCCCCTGTTCCTGCAAATAAACCAGTTGAAAAAAATTATAGTGTCCCTCCAAAACGAAAAAAATGCCAAAAGTAAAACTTTTAATTTATAAACAAATTTTCGCTAGAGCTTCACCAAAACGTTTTAGGTGTGCAGTTTTATAGCACATTAAATTTAGTATGATAAAATGGAAGTTTAACTTGGCTAAGGGTTCGCGTTGATTCTTAATTTTATTTTTCTGATGGTGCTAGGCATTTGCGCTCGAAATTTGAGATAAAAAAGTCAACACGAATTCTCAGCCAATTAAAACATGCTGCAAGTTTTCTAGAAATTCTGAAAAAAATTAATGTTGGTGAAAACTTTTTTTATAAATTTAAACTTTTACCATTGTAGTTTTTTCGTTGTTGGAGAACACCACAATGGTTTTCAACTAGTTTTTATTATTTAAAATTTATTCACAGGAACAGGACAATCGCTTTTCTAAAAAATTAATGAATCGAATGAAAAACACTGGACTGCTTTATAAATTTTAGCAGTTTGTTGAGGGAAAGAGAATGTATGTCGTCCATTCTCAATACATTCGACCCAAAAATACACCATCTGAGTCTGGCGAAGGCCAGACAGCCACAGAGAAAATGTTCTGTACTATTCTCATCCTCTAAACACGATGTACACAGTGGTTCTTCGATGATGCCTATGGTGACCATATGTCGTCCCTATGGCTTGTGCCCCGAAATCATTCCTATCAGGGCTCGTAGATGAGTCCTTTTTTGTCTGAGAAGGAATATTGCTACCTCCCCGCCAGCCCCTTTTCAGGTAACAGGTTATTTTGCAGGTTTCAATAGTACACCAACGACTCGAATGAGTTTTGTTTATAAGATCCTTGATGTACCCGATCGTTCCCGCTATGCTTGGCCCTAAATTATCTCCGGTCAAATTGGACGCTCCAGAAAACCATAGCTCGCCAGTTCTTCGGCCAGTTCGTTACCGTGAACACCGTAATATCCTGGCACCCACACAAGTTCAGGATCATTCCGTCTTGTAACGCAGTTCAGCCCCAACTTACATTCCTGGCCTATGTTGGAAGAGCTGCGCGCGGTGTCCAATGCCTTTAGAGTAGCTTAGCTATCACTGCAGATCCCGATTTTATGCCCGCGCCACCAAAGAAAGAGTGAAGTAAACCAACTGAAGTTACAGTACCGCTTTCAAGCCGCCAGTGCACTCGTACCTTGTTCATATTTTTCCCGAAGACTTGTGAAAACAAAAACTTATTATCATTTCTGCGGCATTATTTTATGCGAAGAAATTTCTTTTTAGTAACGTAATATAATGGACGTAATATTTTTTTTTTCTTTTAAGAACAATAATAATACCAGTAACCATTTTAAGTACTTTAACCAAAGACTTGCCTCTTCATTAATTAAAACAAGTTTAAAAAAATAAGAGTTGTATAATAATTACGTTGAATACTGTAAATCCACCCAAAAGCATTCTGGCTGATGCATCTGTTGTGGTGTTGTTAGTAGACAGTTCGTTTCTTTCACCAGTTTCAAAATTTATTTCTTCCAAGTCTCCGTAATTCTCGTGTGACTTGGCATTCATTAAAGCTTTCAAGCGCTGCAAAGCACTCGACGGCGCTTCCGTCTCAGTGTTATAGCGGATCGTTAAGTATGGTGCGTAGTCCGCTGGAACATCGTCTGGCTGATAACCATAGATTAACATCTGCACGAATAAGTTAGTGGTATAGTCGTCCTTAATGACGGCTTTAAGACTATTCGGAGAGAAGTGAGAATACTCCGCTACAGGTGGATTGTATTCGCTCGACGTTCTGTCAATAGTATGCTGCAAATATTTAATTGCAATTGCATATAAAAAAATAATAATTAGCATATGTTGCACATACATACATACATATATGTATATGTGTGTACATTAGATCGCATCACAAAAAAAAAGTTGCGGTTTCTTCGCTGGGATTACAAAATTTATCGGGAAAATTTTAAGATCTACGTTAGCGAGGTGGACCGATTAAAAAATTCCTCCAGAAATGGAATTTTTATTAATAAGTATAGTTTCTTAAAGAATTTTTTGCAAAAATCCCCCCCCCCCCCCCCNCCCCCAGATGACAAAACAGTTTAAGCTTGAAAAATCAGCATAAAAATATTTCAAAAAAATTCAACGGAATCATAATGAGATTCTTCACGCTGTTTTTTAACTTTTTTCAAAGATTGGTTTAAGAAAAACTTGATATTTGTGTTGGGTTCGCTTACGCTATTTGTACGGTTTTAATATTATTATTACAGCATAAGCGCAAATATACACAAAGTTAGAGATTGCAATTTGGCATTCCTCTTTTTACTTTGTTCGTAACACTTAACTAAGGGCCAATTCACAGTGCGTTATTAACTCAGAATCAGCAGTTAACTAGCTTATAAAATCTAATTAAATTCACGCTTGAGTGAAATATTCGTTTTGCATTTGACTCGCTTAAACGTTGGCCGCCGCTCAGTAACTTTTCGCTAGATCTAACCGTATTTTTATTTTGAATTAATTTTGAATAAAATTGGGACGTGTATGAGTTTATTTGCAAGGAATAAAAAAAAAACCGAAAAATCTCATTACTATGATTCCGTTGAACAATTTAAAATATTTTTAAGAAATTTTTTTTTTTAAGTTTAGATAGTTGCGTCATATGAGTTGATTTTTTTTTTTTAAATCTTTTTAAAAAAATATTTTTATTTAAAACAAACTCAATTTTTCCAGCTCGCGTTAATCTTAATCTCAAGTCTCAAATTATAATAGATTTTATATTTCCAATAGAAAAACAGTACCGATTTTTTTTTTATGGTGAATGATGCAGTCTAATATACATATGTATGTATGTACATATGAACTTGTATACATACACATAACATTAAGTGGCTTTACAAGTGAAACTTACATCAAATATTATAAACCGCACGTACGTTATGAAACTACTATCGATATAGTAAAATGTAACGGTATGATTTGATGGTTCCTCAGTGGAAGTGTGTGAAGTCTGATAAGTCTCATACAGTAAATAATCACCTGCCAAGAAATTTTTGGTTACGTGCATACATATGTGTTGTTGGAAAAAAGTAGATCATTCTACCAAACCCTCACCTTTTTGACGCGTTCCCTGTTCGATTATTTTATCAGCATCACCGAAATCGCCAAAATATTCCATATCGTCATCCAACACATCCGCCATTTCTTCGCTTTCATTACTCGATTCCGTTTCATTCTCGTCGATATCATAATCGAATTCTGGTGCAAGTATGCCTTGGAATTGCTGATCTTTATTCAGTATATACGATGGATTTATATTGAGCATGGTCTCATTGAACCCATAAATTGATATCTGTACTTCAAACAGATCGAAGCCATTAATGGCATTTGTGTTGTTGTCATTGGGAATGGCAACTATATTTCCTTTCACCAAATCATTTTGGTAGCTAAAATACACATCTGCCAGAACGTTCTGTGTTTTTTGAAATTGTAAAATAAAAAACATAAATTAGAAAAAAATCTCTATATATCGTCGTTTAAAGTACAAAACCGCGTATCAAAAAAATTCAAAACTGCGTATGTGAGGTTGCATAAATTATTTTCATAGTATTTGGGGAAATAACGCTCAAAGACTAGTATACATATTTATGCAATTATTAGCGCTGTCGATCCCGAGATCTTGGTATTTTTCAGATACCAAAAATTTCGGGATTAGCTTGTATTAGTTCCGCGATCCCGAAATAATTTAAATGTCGAACTGAAGGAATTAAAAACTTGTTTATAATAAAAGCTTTCCAATTCAATAAATGCACTTGCGAACGGGTAGGATTGTTGTACAAATGTCCGAAGACTGTCTTTAGATACCTCAATATTATACAAAAAAATAATAATTTTCTAAGCAGCTTCAAATTTTAAAATTTTAAGTTTCGAAATATGACAATTTGGATAGAATCGTCCATATACAGGGTGGCCTAGACCTTCTAAAATCGAGGAACTGCCAAGTCGGAGATGCTCTGGCTTTTGGTCGTGTTACCAACTTCCGGTTTCAACCGGAAGTGGGTTAAATAGACTGGAAGTCCATCATTTTAACCGGAACTTCATTTCAGAGAAAACTTTCCGAGACAAGTTACGTATATTTATGCGAATCTGCGTTAAAAACATGTATGTATATCCAATTAAAAAAAAAAATCGATCTGTTTAACATCCCCGACTAGGTAAATCATATTTTTTCGTTTTCCAATAAAAACAGTTTCACTAATTTCAGAAGTCTGGCACCAGTGAAGTTCGAAAGTCATAGTAAAAACATGTATGACCCTCATCGATTCCCCTTTTCGCTGCTTGCTATGTTTGAGTTCCGGTCGCTTAACGAAAAACTTTGTATGTGAAAGCAACAACAAATTTAGCTATCAAGGATGGACGAAAGCGAGTTTGGTTGTACCTCATTGAGTTCGTTCGTTTCGCCACTCGCTAACTGTTGGCAAATCGATGACGGCTTTGTCTAATTAAAAAAAAAAATGAACTTGCGGTCAGTTTAATCTACGTACGGCCGAAGCCGGATGTCGGTAATACCATTAAAAAATAAATCATCCCCAATTTAATGGGTCAAAGTTTTGGGTTCAAAACAAAACACATTTTTTCTTTACCTTTTAGAGGGGGTACACGGGTGGTCTAGGAAACCCTGTATACTTGTGGCGTTTTCTTTTCTAGCAAAAAATTTCCAGCTTCTCATATGGAAACATTATCAGAGTGCAACATTTTTGAGGGTAGAACCTTGAGGTCAAAAAAGATAGCGGCTGAAGTTAAGGCTGGTTTTCACTATGTCAAATGCAATGGCGTTTGTCGTCCAATAAATAAAAAGCACATTGTCAAAAGGAACTAAAAAACGGTTTATACATACATATGTCCGTTTTTAGCCCATAATATAATCAGAAAAGGTATGGGAAATGGGAATAATTCTGTGTCAATATATGTTGACAAAATTTTTTGTCAAAATATGACATGGTTGCAATTAGCCTTTGGAGATGGAAATCGTTAGGTAACATTGCTTTTATTTGAAGTCTTTCCAAAGGAGATTTTTTATATTTCATTAAAGAAAAACTTAATGGTTTTTATAAATGTTAACGAGCAAAATTGTTAAAAATTTGAATGCATTAAAATTTTTCACCAGCATTACTTTGGATAATTTAAAGCCTTTTTATTCTAAAAACAAAGTTTTTGTATACAGAAATCTGGGCACCGTCATTATATTGCATGCGTCGCACGTTTTTCATTTCGAATCTAAAAATTAAATTTTAAAATCCAAACGTATCAGGTCAAAAATGTATGAGTCTAGGAAAAATTATTTTCTACTTTTTAGTGCATTTATAGAAACGTGGTATATTAAAGAGATTTATTTGATTACTTTTTCATTTTTCATCAATATTATAATAATTCCTTTATTGGTAATTTCTCTTGACTCATTTTACTCAGCTTAATGAGTGGCAGTTAAATTTTGAATGATTTTTTTCAAATCCTTGTTTTGTCAATACTAATTTGTTGATGCCTTAATTTGCATTTCTCTATATTTATCCTATAAATAGTTCTTATACGAGCATGTATTACGTATTTATGCAGTTACTAAAGAAGAAACATGCAAGCAAAATTTGCAAGGCTAACGAACTTTATTTCCAACAATTGGCATTAAATAAAAACCAATTTTATAAATCGTACAAATGCACATACATATGGATATATAAATATTAGGCTGCATCACTCCCCATACAAAAAAATCGGTTCTCCTTTTCCATAGGAATTATAAAATCTATTATATTTTAAGACGTCCACCAAAATATTTCGGAAAAATATTAAGTTTTCGTTAGCTGGACCGATTTGAAAATACCTGCAAAAATGGAGCTTTTTTGGAATAAAAATAGTTTCTTAAAGATCTTTTTTTTTAAATCCCCTCTAGTGAAAAAAGGGTTTAAGCTTCAAAAATTTGTACAAAAATATTTTAAAACATTTAAAAAATATGTCAATGGAATCGTAACAATGAGATTTTTGATGCTGTTTTTTTAACTTTTTTCAAATGCTGGTATAAGAAAAACTTTAATAACTAAGTCTAAACTATTTCGATTTAGACTTTTTCTTTCTTTGCTAATATTATTATTCAAATGATGAAAGGGAAAGGTAGGATGAACGAGAGGCATTCCAAGTTGAATTAAGATGTGTTGGTATTTGAAAAAAAAATAACTGGGACATGAATGAATTTTTTTTGCACAGAAATAAAAAGAATGATAAAACACCTTTCTACTGAGAACTCATAAAACTTAATCAGAATAGTTTTGGCCCAGTTATTCAAGTTTTTCGTAAATAAATCATTAAAAAATGTTAAAAAACAGCATCAAAATTCTCATTGTTATGATTCCGTTGAAAATACTATGAAATATTTTTATGCAGATTTTTTGAGCTTATTCTGTTTTGTCATCTGAATCAAAAATTGCTTTAAGAAACCATTTTTATTCATAAAAAACTCCATTTTTGGAGGTATTTTCAAATCGGTCCAGCTCGCGTAAATCTTAATATTTTTCCGAAATATTTTAGTAGACGTCTTTAAATATAAGAGAAACTGGAACTTTTCTTGGTGATGCAGTCTAATGTATATATATGTATATATGTATATAAACATATTAATATTCAATATGGTGCGCCAAATATTGCGACGGAAATGTGAAGTTCATCGTCAGTGCATGTGAAGTAAAATTTTGAGAACAATTTATTATTTCATTAAATGTCTAGTATATGGATGTAGTATGCCTAAATTTCTGGCACTGTCGTACATGTACATATGTATGTATGTTCATATGCCCGTATGTATTTACCCGTGTTTGCCGGCCAATGCCACTTATATTCTTCCTAGTACGGTTTATAAATGCCACGATTTTGCAATCACACCACAAAAACATATGTATGTACATATGTATTAACACACAAATTTATAGTTTCAAATTTAGGTGTTTATAAAATTTTGCACGAATATTTACCCGCACGGATGTATTTATGTAAATACCATACCCAACGGTGTATATGTATATTTAGAAATGATGTATTGTGACCAAAATTTATTTGACCTTACTTGTTCCGAAACTATTTCGATGTAAGTTATTGGCTCTGGAATTGCATAGTTGAAGCCGACTACTGGATTTTTATCCACTCCGACGAGACGTGATTGTAGAACATCTTTTAGTATTAATTGATCGTTAATAATACGTGCACCGATGCCGAAAACGGATTTACACTCGATCCATTCTAGTGCAAAAGCGGCAAAAATCAACACGTATTGCCATATTGCCAATTTCGCTAAAGGCATTTCGAGACTTTTTGTGGGCGCGATGACACGATTTTTAGATTTCTAAATACATATATCGTAGTATATTATATGTATGTATATATAATAGTGAAGATATTTTCGTATATGAGTGCGAAAACATGTGAAATACTTATTAGCAACAAAAACAAAATTATTTGTTTAGTGCGAAAAATCTAGCATACCGATTGATCACTTCTTGTCGCCTCAGCGTACTCGTAGTAACTGAAAATTTCCCTTTCCTTAAAACTGAAATATTTTCGAAACTTCGAAAATGTATTTAAATTTTCGCTGGAGAGAGCCAAAATCTGCACGTGAGTACACATGAAAATGATATTGCGAGTATAAACAGAAAAATAATGCAGGGAGAGCGCCAAAAATTATTAGATATGCCCACTTGTGAATAATGAATAAATTCTAACACTTCTAAGATAACTTGGCGATCAACTTGTAAATATAAAATTAAATATTCAAAATTCGTGTGTGCATTCATAATATAACCGTTCCTCTCACAATCTTTTCTTATACATACNAAATTAAATATTCAAAATTCGTATGTGCATTCATAATATAACCGTTCCTCTCACAATCTTTTCTTATACATACATATGTTGATCGTTTAAAAACATAAGCACTCTTTTGATGCACTATCAGCACACACACACACACACACACACACACACACCTGTTATTCGCCATCTGAGGAGGCTCTCTGTTTTGCCCTCAAGTGCATAACCTGTTTATAAATAACGTGAGAGTTTTCTTTTATTACATGAAAAAGATGCCAATGAAAGACTCGAATGCAATAAAAAAAAACATCTGGGCATTGCTCATACGACATGGTGTATGGGGAGGCATTTTTCAAGTACTCAATGCGTACATATGTATGTACATATAAGTATAAGCTTTACAATATTATGTACATACATACGAACGCATGTATGTATGCACATATGCATGGTCGCTGGGCTTTTGGCCTATAGGCAGGCGTTCTTTGAGAGACGTAACACGGCTAGCTTTGAGTATTTAAAAATTAGTAAGCTAAGAAAAGTGAATGTTAACCAAATAAAGAGTTAATCAAAAGAAATTTATTTACTGCATAAATTCATTGCTATGGATAAGTTTTAAGTGGCCCAACATTTTCTCTCGAGTAAAAAGAATAGAAAACTTAAAATTGCATAGTTTTTAAATAAAATTAAAAATATACTTATGCATAATGTACATATGTACTTTATAACTACATATATTATAGGAATACTAATCTTAATGCAAACACGTGCGACAAAAGTCAAAAAAATTTTAAAACACAACATCCAGAACAGCCCTAATATATTCGCGGGACTAGGGACAAAATATAGTAAAACTCCGTTTTTAGTTTTTCTCGTCAGTATATTTATTGAAATGGCTTTGAAATTCCAATGATATGATATTTTCAATAAATTATTTTAAAAATTCCATACAATGTAAAATGACCATAGAACTAAAACCTGTAGAACTAAAAAAAAAATATGATATTGATTTTCAATTAAAATGAATTAAAGTTATTTTTTAATAAAATAAAGTCAGAAGGACGAAATTCTAAGGTGTGATCGTGTGAATAATAGTTTTCAACGCAAGCAAATATTGCAAATTTTCAAGAATGTGCAAAGATAAAACGTTAGAAGAACATTTTAAATACCTAAAACTAAAAACGCAGCTTTACTAATTTTTGCTCCCTAGTTCGGTGAATATATTGACTTTTTTGTGGGTGAATTTTACTGTCACAGAGTGTTTCAGCACAGTCAACCTGTTTTTTTTTTAAGTCACACTTTGGAACCTCTCAAATGGTTTTAGTGAGAGGTTTGACGTTGCTCGGGAGGCGACCGTTGTTAGAAAATACTTTTTCTAAATTCCAACTTGCACGCTGTAAAAGTGTGGCTAAACCTGGCCATGCAAACGCTTTTTCTACGCATTTTGCTATCAAAATGCGAAGCGAAAGTTGACTTTCACGTGTAAACAGCCAAAAAGTCCTTTTTGCAGATTTGCAGAAATCTCTTTCGGAAATAAATCTTGCAAGGTGTAACCGCAACTGAAATCACACAAATCGCTTTCGAGAAATAATTTCAACTTGCTCGTGCGACACTAGCAATTTTCATTTTTGCTGCAAATGCTGTCAAACCAATTGAGTGTTGCCGTGTGACGCAATTTTCGGCGAATTTGTATAAGATTATAAAAATGTTGTATCACAATTAAAAAAAAAAAATACTTGTAATTAGTGTATTCTCAACAAAAATTAACAACAATTTTACTTGGAAAAAAATTTCCTTACCCCTCTATTCTGACAGAGCTACAGAACTTAGCTCATAACTGTTGTGATTTCTAGTGGGCCGCAAAATATTCCACAAAAATTCGATTCTAAAAGCTAGAGAAATACACAAAACCCTAAAAATTTGTGTTGTAGCGGCAACTTTGAGGCGCAATGGAAAACACAGCAGTGATGAGCTATGGTTTAGAATTAGGGGCAATTGAGTGCGCAAAGTGGCAGAGAGCTTGGGCAGAAAGCTGCTGAAAAAAAGTTTCACAAGCAACAATTTACTAACTAGCAAACAAAAACCGCAGAGCTTCATTTTACGAAAATTATAAAATTTATTTCGATAATTTTTAAGTTTAAAATAACTGCAAATTTTTAGAAAGCAACCAGTAATTGCCTTGCGTTTGTTTAGCAAATTACTTTACGCAAACTTTTAATCTATATTCTTCACAAATTTTTTGTTTTATGCTTTGATATGTAAACAAAATTTCGATCAGCAGTACCTAAACTTGCAAATTTTTTTCTCATTTTACGTTCGCGCATTTTTTTCGATAGTTTCTAATTTGTAAGTTACTGCCAGAAATTTTTCACTAGAGCTTCGAACAGACTAATTGTGAGTATTTTAATGAAACCTTTCTTGAGACACTGTATCTGGGTGGAAAAGTACTTAAATAGGTTTCACTGCATTGCGGTTCTAATACTTAAGAACAACGGTCTATATTAGCTTTACTCAAAATATTTGAATTTAATTTACACTGATTTATCTTTAAACAGGAGGAAGGTTGGAAATTAAATCGAACAAATTATTACCAAGAGGGATGGCTGGCTACAGGAAATATACGTGGCATTGTCGGTGTAACATTTACAACTTCACACTGTCGCCGAAATATGGACTTTCCTCTGCGTACCAATTACAACCTGCGTGGACATCGATCAGATGTAAGTAGCTGCTCACATACAAGCATATCTATATAAGTACATATTTGCAAAGACAATACACATTTCATCCAAAATCTAAATTTTCACGAAAACCTTTGTGAGATACCAGTCTGACAAAAAAAAAAACTAGAATAAAAATCCGCGACTAGAAGCTCAGTTAGTCTAGACTTAATTTTCGTAACTTAATTTAACTTAATACTTTAGCCTATATGAGAAACTAGGTTGGCAGTTAGTTTAAACTTAACTTACCCTAAGAAACTTAAGAACCTGTTGGTTTTAGATTCTTAAGTTACGGCCTTACGGAAATTCAGAGCGATGAGAGAATCAGGCTTGCCAGATTTTCGTTTTTACTTTTCTCAAAAATAAATGAACGCAAACATATTTTTTTCATGCTATTTTCGATGTGGCTTTTTAGGCGGCAAAGTGACAATTCTTACGGTAAGTTAAATTAAGTAAAGTCTAGACTACCTGAGCTTTAAGGCTACAAATGTGTGAGCCCATGTCTTCATTGTTTTTGTTCTTGAATAACTACTGCGCTGATTAAAACCTAACTTTGGTCACCCTTGTTTCCAAGCCTCGCAATATTAAATCGTCAGATTCGTATTTTGACTGTACTAGGGTCATTGCTTTGCGTTGGCATTTAATTTTCAAAAAATGTATCTAAATATTTAGATTTGTGTGGTCCAATGCAAAACTGTTTACTATTTTTGTTATTTCTAGGTAATCTTGGTTAAATGGAATGAACCATATCAGAAACTTGCATCGTGTGATAGCTCCGGTATTATATTTGTATGGATAAAGTACGAAGGACGATGGTCAATTGAATTGATCAACGATCGCAACACACCAGTTACATATTTCTCCTGGTCACACGATGGACGAATGGCACTCATATGTTATCAAGATGGCTTCGTGCTGGTCGGCTCCGTAGCCGGTCAACGCTACTGGTCGTCAATGCTAAATCTGGAATCAACCATTACTTGTGGCATTTGGACGCCAGACGATCAGCAAGTGTACTTTGGCACCACGCAGGGCCAGGTGATCGTTATGGATGTGCATGGCGCGATGGTGTCGCAGGTGCAGCTTTGCAATGATGTTGGCATAACATCAATGGCATGGTCGTGTGAAAAATTCAAAATGGAAGAGGGCGAGGAATCCGAGCCAGGTGTTACCAATGCCTGTATGTATCGAATGCTAGCGTGTTTGCAAGAAGTATTTCACTAAAAATTGGTGCCTCCTCTTTTATTTTAGCTAAGCGTTCTTTTGTTTTGGCTGTTAGCTTCCAAAATGGTTTTATCTATTTGCTGAAGTCATTCGATGATGTTTCGCCTGCACATATCAACACTGGGCTAAGTGGCAGCCTAGGCATGGTTATGGAATGGAGTAATTCGCGTGAACTACTTGCTGTCGCGGGCACATCGCAAACTTCGCTAAATATAGTCGATCCGCAAGGTTCACCGCTTTATGAAAATCTTCTAAAATTTTACACAGAATCTGGAAATATTTTATACCAGACACGCTTACCAAATACCTCTTCACCGGTGTCTGCGCTGACGTGGGGTCACAACGACAAACGTCTATTTATTGCGACCGGCACCCAAGTGCATATTGCCTGGGTATCGAGACGTATAGCATCACTTCAGCTTTTATGTCGCCTACAAATACAATCTTGCATTGGTTCGGAGCGCACCTTGCCACTCTTACCGTTGCCATCACGTATTAGGAGTCTGATTGGCAATCTTTTTGCTCAAACAATAAGAGTAAGTAAGACACTGTGTGTACATACATTCGTACTCAAAAATATTCACGAAATTGCCTTTGGTTTTACTTTTAGTGCTGTGTACCTGATTTAAAATCTTTACGCGAGTTCGTCTCCCGACCACCAATGTGTTCGACACGTTTGCATTGCACTATGATCCGACACGACGATGACGCGAACCAAAGTACGGGCACATGCTATACACTCTATTTGGAGTATTTGGGTGGTCTCGTACCATTGCTTAAAGGAAAACGTACTTCAAAAATACGTCCAGAATTTGTTATATTTGATCCACAAGCGAAT